TTCTACTGCAGCTATGTTAGAAATTAACATAATTGTCGACCCTCGAGTTCCTATGTTGGTCTCTCATTCTTCTGTACACACTATATAAAAAAACAGACTCGATAGTTTGTTTAAAAATCCGAGAGGGTTTCAAGGTGAGGAGCTTGATAGTTGCTGAGAGGTTTCTGCTTCTTCAGTCTGTCCCATCACCTCTAGCCTCCTCTTCAACTCTTTTGTTCTTTATTTTTCTTTGCTAAACGAAAAATAACCGGAGAAAATCAAGCCGTCATACCCAGAGCTCAGAAAGGAGGCCTTCAATATTTGTAAAGCACTTTGACTGTACAGTTCAAGCAGAACAAAACCAGGTGGTATACAGAGCGTGGGAGAGGAGGAGCGGCACGTTACAGACAAAATACAATGCCACTGGACAGACGGTACCATTAAAAAGAATATTTTTAAGCATTTCATACAAAGAGAGAGTATTTGCAAACTCAGAATAAACAAGAATATACACAGTGAGGTAAAACACATTGGTCTTTAATTGGAGGTATTTTCTTTTTGAATAGTTTACCTTTTTAACGTTACTTTAGGCTTTTTGAAGATATTTCATCTTTTGATCTTTTCATCTATAAAGCAGGCAATGCAGTCACACACAATCACATGCAATCCTGTCTTTCCAGGTGAAAAGAACAAACAAATCTTGTCAAAATTAGGCACCACATAAAACATGATAAAGCTTTCAGCTCCACACTGGCCTGACTGCAGCCCTGCCGACCCCGAGCCCCTCAGCGACTGCAACCAGGAGTCTGACGGGGCTAGCCTAGATAAGCTGTTACATTTCGGATCCAGTAGGAGACGATTTGCACACAATTTGCATAAAAAGACCCGTAAAGCAGACAGTATTGGACTAGCCTGACTCTTCTCTAGAAGAACTTATTTTTAATGGAATCATCTGACTGAATCTGCCTTGCTGGGTTTGGGTGACTAAACAGTTTCTACACATTCATACTGCCTGATGCTTGACCTTCTTGTATTAATGCTTTTCTACCTGCTTCTTATTGTAGCCAAAGTTTTGTGTTTGCCGCCGTTGCCTGTTGATGCATATTTGACGCAAATCAAGGATTGCACCGGATGCCGTTTGCTACCATGCAGCCTGAATATCCAAAGAGTGTGTGAGCCTACATTCAACTATCTTAATCTAATTTAGAAAGCAAAAGCCCAGAAAAGTAAATCTGACCATTGAACTGTAGGTAATCAACCATTCCGTTTCTGAGACGCAGATGGGTATTCTGAAAAATAAGGTTACAGCATCTGGTGGTTTATGACAAACACTTCTTAATGCCTCTTTAATGAAATCGCAAATTCCAGGGGAAAATGGTAAATTATCCATCATCGCTGTGCCTGTCCAAAGCCTGCAGTCAACATGTTTGGGACCAAATGGAGGTAGCATGTGTAACATCCAGCAATTTCATGCAATACAGTAGCAGCCATTCAAAATGGCCCCACTTCCCTCAAACTTCCAGCCACTGGCCTTCTCCTAGGCGTGCATATAATTTTACTCTGACTCCACCCTTTCACTGAATTACAGGGTCTGACCAGGAGATGACACTACTCTTTAGATCTTATGTCGACAAATCATGACAGAAAAAATATTTTAGTACAAGTATTGATGTTTAAAAGGGAATTGTAAGGGACCAGCCAAGGGCCCATCAAGGAAAGTGGGGAAATTTTGGCTTCTACTGTAGCAATCCCAAAAAAAAGCTTTTTTTTCAATTAAAAAGTAGCTTTAATCAAATTTGATTAGACGGCAGGGCTGAAGTGAGGCGAGGCTGTTCGTAGCTGGCAAATGTTAAATTGATTTAAGAACATGGAATGATTAGATAGAAAGGCAAATAAGAACTCAGCAGAGATTCCCGTACAAAGACCACAAGAGTTTGACAAAAACATTAGTTTTTTTTTTGTTTACATTGAAATCTTTTTGAAAAAAAAAAAGAGTTACAAGGCTGCTGGTGACTTTAAGACAAAATGAATATAATCATTGTAGAGGCATACTAGAGGTTCAGTTGAGTTGAGCCTGTCGATTATTTCCCAGAGAAGGATTTTGCAATGAAGTAAAGCTTAAGCCCACAGCTCAGCCATGGTTTCTTAAAGGGATACTCTGAAATCTCTATGTCCAATTGTTGACCAGTAAACCCAGATAAATCCAAAAGATATTTGTGAGGACTTGAGTCATTTCCCCGTCGGCTAAAATACTTAAACGCTTCTGTGACATAAAACTTTCAACCAGTAATTCTCTCTGTTCCCGATTTTGAATCTGGTTGAAGTCGATATTTTACCTTCTTCATAATCTGACTAGGTTTTTCTTTCATTTAGTCCCCTACCAGTGGTGGCCATTTTCAATGTTCACTGAGCCAATTGAATGCCACTGATGGCACACTTAGATAGGTACCTTTTATCAATTTATCAAAGTGCGACTGGTGTTGGATTCAGTTCCCCACTGATTCAAAGGAATCAAAAGGGTGAAATAACAAATTTTTTTCCACTTTTACCCAATATATTCCAACATCCAGCTGCCATGCACGTGGGCATTGTCAGTTTCACTATAGCTCTGGTGAATTTCAATGGTGAAGTCCTCTGGAAATCATCTATAATTGTTGTTGATTGCAGATGTGTCTAGTAGTTCCATTGATTTTGCTTGTAAAGCGGGGAGAATGGCGCTAGGCTTACCGCACCGTGACGTCACTGCCAGAAGATGGCAGGAGGGAGGGGTTGCTATATCTGGGCTAAAATGGCAGCAGTGATCGTGAGGAAAAATTGTTTTCATTTTTTTACTGCTCAAAGCTAAATTCATTAAATCACCGAGAGCGTATTCGTTTTATGGTGTAGATAATGATCCATTGGTTCTTCATTGCTGACCGGACTTTTCCTTGAAATGTGGGGTGACTAAAACTGAGAACCTCTGATTTGAAAATTGCGTTTTGCTATACATTATAAAAGAAATTAATTGCCCAGCTCTACTGGGAAACATGTACAATTAACATTTTCAAACAAATCTGTCTTTGTGATTCTTCATATTTGTGGTTCAAAGCTCACTTAAGAGTTCAAAACCGGGTTTTGCCTACAAGGAAATGAACCAAAAGACTCCAGTCACCATCAGTACTCTGCTAAACCAAGGAGCATCTCAACGCAAACAGAGGGATGTTCTGGGGGGGGGTGGGGGGGGGGTAACATGGCATGATGGCACCAACATCTTGAGATAAGGAAAAATTTGATATTTACATCGAAGCACAGTCCACTCACAGAGGCAGGTAGACATTAAAGTAGCAGCACATTATTACATCATGGATAACAGAACAATGATAAAGAGACAATCTGCCATACAGGTAAACCGCACAGTAGGACTGAAGTGCACTTATTGCTGAACAATCAACAGACTGGTTTGGTTGTGCAAATTACAATCTGGCAGATAAAACTAGAAGATCTGATCACGTTCGGTTTCTGATTGCAGACTTGCTTTGGACCTGTGGATTAAAGCCAAGTGCCCCTGATGAAATTCATCGAATCAGTTTATCTGTATGGCAACCAAAAAAAAAAACAACCAAAAAAAAAAAAACACTGCAAAATATTTAAATCTAAATAAGTACTTTTCTTCTTAAAATATGCCATTTTTTCTTAAAATAAGTGCATTTTTTTCTTGAACTGAGGAGGTAAGTGAGACAGTTTTCCAATGAAAGAAGATAATTTACATTTAAAATAAGAAAATACAATTCCACTGTCTTGTTTCAAGTGCATATTATCTAGTATTTTTTTAACTATATAGCGCAGCTCACTATAAAGAGGGCATACACTGTACGATTTTTTGCCCTTTTTTTGGCCTATTCTCCAGTCGTGTGAGAATTTTTTCGATCAGGTGTAGTGTTAGCCTGATCGGGCCTCCTGCGTCGTGTAGCATAACGAGGGGCGATTAGCCTCTAACGACCACCTCCCGGTCAGGAATCCTAAGGTCAGGAGAAAATCCAATTTTTTGTAATTCAGTCGCCATCATGAGGTGTTGGTGGGTAAATCCTGCTGTTGAAGCTGAGCTACGAGCAGATTTACCAGAATTTACAGCACTGCGAAAGCAAAAAACAAGGGAGTTTTTCTTCTTCTTCTTCTAGATTGACGAGTCCGACCAGCGCCATCTATCGGTGTTGATTCCGACGGTTGTTTTTTCTGCATAGCAAGTAGATCGCATCAGAGTGTCGGCTCGCACAGTGTGAGAACATACGTCATGATCTGTGAACTTTTAAACCCTGCGGCTTCACCCACAGTTTGAGCTAAAGCTGAGTGCAACGATAGAAAATATCGCACAGTGTGTGCCTGGCTTAAGCAGATGATATCTACCGAATAGTCCCAGACCAAATCTGTAGGGGGAGCTCTAAAAGAAGCCCATTGGGTAGGGACCAAGAAGAATGCTAGCTCCCGTTAGCTTGTTAGCTTGCAGCAGTAAGAGCTTCTGCTGAAAATGGGGCTTTATCAGCTCTTTATTTCGGCTCTGAGGAGTTGAGCCCAGTCTCTTCATTAATTCGGCAGCTTTAATAAATGTCAAAATATGAGCATTTTGGACATTTGTTCACCGGCATGCCTGCTGCTAGCTAGCTAGTTGTGCTAAAGGAAAATTAGCCCCTTATTCTTTCATTTCCAACTTGTGGCAGTTTAGAAAAACCCACAGAAAACCAGCGTCTTATAGTCCGGAAAATATGGTAATTATCTTAACAGTTGACAAATCATCTTATTTACCTCCTCAGATTACGGGTAAATACATTTATTTTAAGACATTTTTACTTAGTTCTAGATCATTTTTGCAGTGAAGGCTTAAACTAATTCTTAAATCAGGTGCTACATATAAATCTTTTTTTCTTTCACATAGAACCACACTACCATTATCATAGTAATCAATATATGTGTATATATTTATATGTATATCTCTATATATTTTATTAAAACAAAACAACAGAAAGGTATTAAAAAAGAAACTGACCCTTTTGCGTTGGTCCCTTAAGGCTTGCTCAGTTTGTTTTTTTCCTTTTATGCATCGACAAACGTACATTCTGGCTACGTTCACAAAGCAGCCCGAAGTGACCAAATCCGATTTTTTTGCCCATATCCGACCTGTATCCGATCTTTTCAGGACAGTCTGAACAACACACATCCGATTTATTCTAATGCGTCCAAGCCCACTTGACTATGTGGTACTGAATCCGATACGATCTTTTTAAAACATCAAGTTCGCATTCATCCGACCTGAACGGCATTAATACTGAACAAGGTCACTATTCTGCACCTTGCTACGCAGAAGCGGCAAGAAAAACAACAACCATGGTGGACTAGGATGTGGAGAGTATTATTTTGTTGAAAAGATTGTGTTTTTAATCTACTGCATATGCGGGACGCTTGCGTTGTATGAATCCAGTTCACACAGGAGATCACATACAAGTCGCATATATTTTGAACTGAGCAGCAACGCAAAAAAAATTCATTAAAAAAAATCGGATTTCACAAAAAAACGTAATTGAGCACTAAGGCCTGCAGTGTGAACATAGCCTCTGATAAAACCAAAAACAAACAAAGACACCATGCGACGAAAATGAGAGGAAACCCCTGGAGAAGCTATGGCTTAGTCAATATCAGGTTGCTTTCACTGAATGAACCTTTTCTCCAGGTTAATAGGAACTAAAATCACTTCCAGAGAAACATCCGTAATGCTCCATGTGATCGCCACTTTAAACAACAGTGTTTTCCAACTGCAGCCAGATGCTGGAAGGCAGCACGCCGTGGGGCGGGGCTGGATGAGAAGCCGTTTCTGTGAGGAGGAGGGGAGGATATATCGGATAAAAATGGCACCAGAGCGTCGGCTGGGTTGTGGATGCTGCCAATGTTTTATGAACCAAACGCGATTCCTTGTTTTGCTACCCGTCCCTACATCAGGGGGTGTGCATAGTAGAAGCTCGCCATACTTTAGATCAGCACGCACAGACTGCACATGTGTGTCGCATGCACACGGAGAGGAAGCATGCCACAGTAGCCGACATGAGAGAGGAGTTGGGTTTTTAAGCACTGGCACTTTCCGGTAACAGCTGGTTTGGAAGGCATGGTGGCAGCTGATTGTTGTTGGTCTGGTTTATGGTTAAGCAGAGCAGAGTATAGAAAATAGACACATTTATCTACTGTATATTGCATATGTTTCAGCTTGTGCACCAAAGATGAATGAGGTCACCACGTCCGGTTGAGTTGAAGCGGAAAAAGTCCCCTGGCACCAGAAAAAGAATTCACAATAAATTAAATTGACCTGTTCGAGTCCCCTGACAGCACAGAGGGGAAGAAAACAAACACGTTACACAAAAGAAGAGGTTCATCAACAAAGATGAGACGTTCAGTTGCTCATCGAATGTGGGAGAACTCGACAGCAGGGCTGCAGGGGTCGGGACTGTGACGCTATGCCATCGGCTAATGGGGAAAAATGGGCCAGCTTCAGGATGCCAGCGGTTCGTCACCACAGCTCCTTCACTCTGAGCTGTGCACTGCCAGTCAGCTGGCTGCGGAAAAATAGCTTCTGTGCTTTTTTTTTAATATTTACAAGAAAAACTAATCAGATCATCTGAAAATGTAGAAAACCTGAGTATTTATAAGTTTAGCAGCTAATAGGGGGTTTAACATCGAATGAAGATTTAGTCTGTAAAATTTAGAGGTAAATAAAGTTTAAAATAATAATAAAGTCATACAAACTTTCAGTACCCGTGTAAAGGCAACATTCAAACGTATTTTCTACATTTAATATTGCTTACATATTACTCTGCCTGCAGTACTTTTATATCCCACTAGGTGGCCCGAATAGAAGACCTCTGAATCGGATTCTTACAGATGGACTCACTTTTCTCTTTGAATGTAACAAATTCAGGAAACAGGTGAGGTTCTTTCAAAGAAACATTTTTTCTTTCCAACATAAAGTAAAACAAAAAAATTTCCCTTTGAATAGCCAAATGTTTTAGGAAATTCTTTAACTTTCAGTCAAACTAGAAGGATGTAGCTGGCGGATGCATTTCTACACTGATAATAGAGGGATTTATTAGCTTAAATCATCTAAAAAAAAACATCTGATTTTTCCGGAATCTGAAATGAAGCCCAAATTCAAACAGATTTTTTGGTCTCATCAGTAGTTTATAGTGTTTCTGTCCCCCTCCCCACAGGTTACTGACTGCTCAAAATTCAGTGAAGGTTTTACAAGCTAAGATCAAACATTCAACGCTGCTGCCGTTTCCCTAAGCAACAGATTTGGACTGAGAAAAGATCTCGGCTTGCAGCCCTGCTGGAGAGGTTCTGCTCAGGGTCAGAGTGTGAGCACGAGCTTTAATGGAAAGAGAGCGGCGATGATGATGATGATGATGATGATGATGACGACGTTAAATAAACAGAGAGATGAGTGACCAGAGGTTTCCTTTAACACCTCCATCATCCCCTTCAGGCACGAGTGTCCTCCATCATATCTATCCATCCAGACATCACATTCCTCAGTCAGTGGAAGGAAACCATGAAACAGGAAATGTCTTTAACTTCCCGTCAGAAGAAGAAGATGGGATGGATACTCATGATGACACATATGAAGTGATGCCAGTCAGATGTGTGCATCTGGACTACATCTTGATTCCCTCCTGTTGGCTGAGCTGAGACAATGTCTTCTTGATCCGCAGAGCGGTGAGTCGGGCGGCGCCGTTGGCGTACCAACACTCCCTCATGATCTTAGCCATCACCCGCAAAGCCTGCAAACAAGAGCAAGACAAACGCATCAGTTTCCTTCTTCAGAGAAATCTGCAGCCTGACAAGAAACAAACAATAACCCAGAGCTTAAAGGTTTCCAGCCAAACAGATACAACAGAAAAATCCTTAATTGTTCAAAAAAACAGAGAAATCCAGGTGTGATGGTGGCAGAGCAGCAAAGCAAATGGAGGCAAACACCTTCATGGGAATAAAAACAAACCATGAACAGAATCAATACTGTTTGGCTAAACACCAAGAGACAACAGCGTGATTGCATTTATGATCCAATATAAAAAAATTATTTTTTTTTGTGAAATTGTGTGTGTGTTTTTTTTTGGATATTACTGGAAAATCAACAAAGTTCTGCAAACATTTCTAATGGAAACACAGCTTGTGATGATGGCAGCTTCTATGGAGTCATATGAAAACTACTAAAGGTGACAGCTGGTTGCCTAACCTGTTAACTAACCACAACAAAAATCACTCAATTCAGGAAAAATCCTCAAACTCATTAACAAAATCACCAAACATCACCAAATAAACCAATAAAATGACAAAAACAAAACATAAAAATAAGCAAACACAAAAAAATCCCCAAAGCCACCAAATGCATAAAAAAACAAATAAGCAAATTCAGCAAAAAAAAATAAAAATAAAAATAAAATCACAGATAATCACCAGAAATCAGCAAATTCGGTTGAACAGGCTGATGATGTTTAACCCTTTCCAGCCGGTCAGATAACAGCTAACCAAGGCAGGCTGAAGCTGAATAGTTCGAGGCATAACTTATATCCTGTAGACATTTAGTACGTTAAACAGAGACAGAACCAGACCTACAGAACCAGAACTATTAAAATGAGCCAGGCTCTTTGAAGGCCCACTGCCTTTCTGTTTATCGATGAACTGATGACGGATTAAACATCCATGATATCAAGCAAAACCCTATGTACAAAATAATTAAAACTTTATTTTGCATTTTTTTATGTATTTATCTTATCAGTTATTCAAAATATTTAGGTGAGGTCTCCTGTTCCCCTGTAAGAGGGTTAGGGTAACGAGAATAGCGCGAAGGAATCAGCAAACAATTGACCTGATTCCTTCCTGCTATCATTGCACAGGAACAGAAGACCTCGCCTATTCAACCAGGACAACAATCCCTTTTATGACACCCTTTCAGAGACATAGACAGGTATGGGGCATTGCAGGCTAACAGAGAAGCTAATTCCACCATTCCAAAGGGGTGGACCCGCTCATCTGTTTCAATTTGCATGTTTTCTAAACAAACCCAAGGCTTTGTAGGGCTACTGTATAAAACCTGGAACTCAACGCTATTCCTGACATTTGGAATTTAAAAAGCTTCCTGGATGGAAGGAAAACATCTTCAAACTTGGAAACAAAGTCCAGTGGATTGTTTTTAAACTTTTATGGTTTTCATCATCAACCTTTTTCCTGAAAGGCAAAATTTTACCTAAATGAATCCAAAATGAAGCGATACAAACAATCGCTAGGAAAATATTTAAGATGTATCCTCATCAAAAGGTTTTAGTGAGATTAAACCTCAGATTAAACAAGAGTCTTTAATCTGACTGAATGCGGATCAAGATTAACGGTCATTCAGGTTTATCATTAAAAAAAAGTTTAAAAAAAAACAAAAAAAAACAACTTTGTTTTGAAAGTTTGAAGATGTTTCGCTTTTCATCCAGGAACCTTTTTTCAATTCAGAATGTCTGGAATATTACCGACTTCCAGGCTTATAGAGCAGCCCAACAAAGCATAGGAAAAAAAAGACTAAAGACTCTTATTTCAAGGGCATAATATCTAATTATCTTATTTTAAGGATAACAATAGTAATTCCATTGGCAGCTCATCTTATTTTCCCACTCAAAATAAAGGTAAATACATTTGTTTTAAGACAATTCTACTGATTTTCAGAATGTTTTTGCAGTCTAAAAATACTTTTTGAATAAAGCAACTTTTAGTGAACTTTGGGTTAAAAAGGTCTGTTCCTGTTTAGCTGTGACTCCATCCTGGAGAGAAACATCAGCTGTGCTGCTGCCATCAACACCTTTGTTTATATATGATTGAGATCGACCTGTTTTTCAGTCTAGTCCGGTTTCTCTGACTGTGACTGCCTGAATGCGCTCTCTTCATCCTCTGGCATGGGAGCTGGCTCGGAGCTCGTCTGCCTGGCTGTGTTTCCTGGACGGGGCCGCCTTTTATAGCTGCTTTTTGTGTCTCTGCTTCTGTCTCCTTGAACCCCAGTCGGCCACAGCAGATGGTCGCTCACACTGAGCCTGGTTCTGCTGGAGGTTTCTTCCTGTTAAAAGGGAGTTTTTCCTCTCCACTGTCGCTACAAGCATGCTTGGTGTGAGGGATTGTATTTGAGTCAATGAGTCGATGCAATCAACTGGTTTTCCTTAGATAGAAAACTTTGTATCAATTTGACTGGATGATCTGGTGAATTGAGATGACGTTTTATGAATTGGCGCTATAGAAATAAACTGAATTGAATTAAATAAAGTAAGTTCTGCATTTTTTATTATTTTACTTGTTTGTTCGATTTGTTCTCTATTTAACAACCTCTAGTCCAAAGATCCTAACCTTCTGTTCAGCTTTCAAACCGATAACCTCCAGTCTATAAACAGCAGCTGGTATTGATGCGTCACTGTCTGTGCCTTTTTTCTCCTGTCTGCTTCCTACAGCCATTATTAATACAGCAGACACTTCTATCCATTAGCTGGAAAAAGCAAACAGGCACAACACCCACACGCCTCCACGCAGAGCTTTACTGCCTTATAAAAAACACAAATGACAGAAAATAGAAAAGGGAAAAAGCTGCAACTGGAAAAACACAAAACCCAGCAAATTTAAAAAAGCTGTAAATTTGCTCCGCAGAACAAAAGTTGACTCGACAACTAGATTTCTATGTGACACATAAAAAACAAAAATGGAAATGTTTGCATTTCTGTTTTCATTTGCTGTCAGGTAGATTATCTGGTTTGTTGCTTTAAAATAAAGCGATGGGCTCAGATGTTATCTGATCCCGGTAACCATCTAGTTCTCTGCACACATTTCCAAAGCCAATGGAAAGGGCCGTAGGTCATTTTCCCCTCGAGGTGCACAGCTGAGGGTTTTCCTGAGGATCTCCTGCGTGGAGCCGCAGGTCTGTGGAGAAGTTCTTCACTTCCTCTAGTTTAGACGACTGGACCTTCCTTCCTCCAGCATCCTGCTCATGTTGCGTTTAAGGGCTGGTTGTCCTCCTGTAGCAGTGGATCACAGTGAGCTTGATGCAGGCATTTTTGATTTATGCTCAGTATTGAAGCGTGGTCTGCGCTATGTTATTCCACACCAAAACGCAAGAGGGACAATCAAGAACTAGCTGTGGGTCTAGTTACGGCCGAGGAGGTGAGGAAGTGGGGGCAAGTTTGTGCGACAAAGGAGGGACATGAGGGCCAAAAAGAGCGGGGATCCAGGTGGAAAAAGGGTCCCAGCGTTCTTGCGCACCTCGCTCTGCTAGCTGGTCTTCACGAGTCGTTTTCCACAATGGCAGTCAATCGGGGGGGGGCCTTAATTGTGACACAGGACCTGGTTTCTGAGTATAAATCAGCCTTTAGTGCCTAAGCAGAGCAGATGAGAGCTGTCGGGTCTGAAATGCAACACAGATGTTGTGTTTGAGGTAATCAGGTTTCCTGGAACCGCTCTGTTAGGATATCCACACCTTTGGGAAGAATAGGAACCATATAAAAAAAATTATAAAGAAAAATAACTACAAAAAATTAATTCCAGTTGTTTTGTTTTCAACTTTATCTGGAGTTCCTTTTTACCTGCAAAAGGAAAATTCTAAACAGATCCAGTCTGGAAGAAAAGAACGCTTGGTGCTTATGGGGGAGATAGGAAACAGAGTGAACAGGATGAGGGGCGACTGCACTGCTAGAGGCTAATGAGATAAAGACACTAAACATCCGCTAACAGAAAGCTAATCCTTCGTCAGGATAAATCATGACCTGAACTCGTTGTTCAGCTGAAACGTTTTAGAAAGCCATTTCATCTCAGGCTGTTCAGCGGGATAATTCCCCCAGAAACACAGAGTAAGGTCCAGGCGTCTCATATCGTCTGGTCTGCTAGAGACAGGCTGCAGCAATGACACTGATGAGGAGACCTAATATTCCTCCTGGGCTGCAGACGCTTCCTGAACTCTTTCAGATAAGGATCTAACCCCCCCGCCCCGGGTTTTATCCTCTCCAGCAGCAAAAATGCTTTGTTCCAGTGGCCAAATTTAGACTAATGCTACGTTTAGACTGCAAGCAGCAGAGGCAGCTGGTTTACATGCAAAGCCAATGGTTGACGCGCATCAAGGTGCAGCAAAAGGTCCTGCAGCAGCAGCGCCTCATGAGCTTCTGATGCGCTTCAGAAACAGCTGCTGCTGGAGTTGGAAAAACGGAACCTTTGCTGCTGGACGCGCCACATCAACCAATGAGAGAAGCTGATCTGGGAGCTTTGACTGACTGCACACATGAAGTTCTCAGCTGGACTTTCTCACAAAAATATTAGAACTATTTTTTAACCCACTGATCACAGCAAATATAGCAAAGCTGCTCTCTGCCATCGAACACAGGAGCAGCAGAAGCATCAGACAAATCTTTTCCCACTTTACTGGATGCTCTTCAGGAGCGCCAAAGATGCTCTTAATCTGCGTCTGACCTTAATGTGGACTAGCATCAAAAATGCAGCAGCAGAAGCTTTTTTGCTGCTTTAGTCGCCTGCGGTCTGAATGTAGAATTAGGATCTCAAACTACACAGCTGGAACTAAAACGCAGCAACATTGATGCTGGTATAATATTAACATTCAACAGGAAATCTAAAATTTAAAGCTCGTTAATGGCGGCAGTAGGAGCCAAACCCCTTATCTAATTGTTGAGACAATTTTTTAGTTTTTTTTAAAACCAACCTTTGGTGCTATGGATCCATCTTCAGGAATTAATGAGAATCATTCAAAATTAGAAAAAACATCTTGACCATCTTGGTGGTCCATCCTTTCATTCAAACAGTGGCTGTAATCGCTGATCAAACAGCAGTAGCCTGGTCCTGTATAGCTGAGACGCAAAGAAGGGAGGCATCAGCTGGGCTGCAGTTCAGTGATCAGTCCGGTGTTTCTCCCATATCCGTTTCCCACTGGCTGAAAAACCCGTTTGAACCCGGAGGAAAAACGGCTTTTAGTGGCAGTGGGAAACGCTCACTGATGCAGAGTAAATCCAAGCTTTTCTACCCAACTCTGCATTTAGAAGATGGATCAGCAAGTGACCCCCGTTAAATCGCCTCGGGTCTGATCAGCATGCTGCGGGAACACCAGGGCCCGTCTTCTGTCGGCTCAGCGTACCACGTCAGGCCAGCTTACCTTTAGTAACATGCATGCGCACATGATCATTATTAGCGGTTATCAGTCCCGTTGAATGGCTTTAGATTGCAACAATCCTATCCCAAAGTTTCCCCCCTGGTAATTAATTTATCTATTTATCCATAATCTGAAAATAATTTCAGCAGTTCTTCATGTGCTGTAAAAATAAATAAATAAAAATAAAATGATCCCGGTGGGATATGTTTCTCATATTAAACAAACTAAAACAAATAAATCTCCTATCCTGTCAACTGGGTTGTAGAATCTTCTATACATTTAATTCTCTGTGGAAAAATCATGATCATTCTTTTATGAAATCTTCATCAAAAGGACTTGCAATGTTTGTTTTTTTAAAGCTAATGTGTGTATTGGACCTAGTGAAGTCTACTACACACTAGTGTTTTTTATTTGTACAAAACAACGACAAAAACCCGACTAAATCAGGAAATAAAAGAGAGTGATTGGCTGTAAGGAGAGCGGAGGCAGAGGACACTCTTTTTAATGCGTATTACTAAGGGTATGCTGGCCTGACGCGGTATGCTGAGCTGAGCTGATAAAACACTGGGTTGACCGTCTAAATTACACGATACCATTCAACGCAGCATCCAAACGTCTAACAAGAAGAACCAACTCTGTTTAGATTGGAAAAACACGGAGCAGCTCTGGAGAGAGGGATTCAGACCGATAGAGAGAAACAATAAGGCACACTGACTATGCCCTGGCTTCCTTCCATGTTGCTCTCCATTGTTTACTTTCCTGATTTCTTTTGCACTGGTGACATCAGTGGTGACCAGACCACAGCTATGACGTGGATGACAGAGGCCATGCAGCTGCCAGTGAGGGGTTAGATCAGCTTTTTTTGACCATGTTTGAAAAACAGGTGTTAACCGGTTATCTTCAGAGGGAAAGAGGCTGTAGATGTATATCAGAAATGTCAGAAATAGCATAGAGTTCCGGGCTTTATACAGCAGCCAAACAAAGCCTTGTTTTTGTTTAGAAAACATGCAAATTGAAACAGATGATCAGGCCCCCCCCTGTGGAATGGGGGATCATATGCCTTCTTTGTTAACCTGCATTGCCCCATACCTGTCTATGTCTCTGAAAGACAGGTTTCAGAGACATAGACTGGTATGGGGTATTTCAGGCTAACAAAGTGACTATGACCTGGATGACTGAGAATCTTCGCCAACAGGCTGCACCTTTTTGTTTCTTTTCTGTCTGTTAGGTGTTTTGTTTCCAGGGTTTTTTGTCTTCTCTTTTTTTTTTTTTTAAATAGCTAACTTAATTAACTTAAATACTCAATTAAAATAGAAAAGAAAAAAGCATGTCCATCCATCCATCTATGTTCTTCCTCTTATCCGGGGTCGGGTCGCGGGGGTAGCAGCTTCAGTAGGAAGCCCAGATGTCCTTCTCTCCAGCACCTTGGGCCAGCTCCTTCGGGGGAATCCCAAGGTGCTCCTAGGCCTGCTGAGAAACAAAGTCCCTCCAGCGTGTCCTGGCTCTCCCCCCTGGGTGTCCTCCCAGTGGGACGTGCCTCTCCAGGGAGACGTCCAGGAGGCATCCTAATCAGATGCCTGAGCCACCTCTACTGGCTCCTCTCGACGTGGAGGAGCAGCAGCTCTACTCTGAGTCCCTCCCCTAATGACTGAGCTCCTCACCCTGTCTCTAAGGGAGAGCCCAGACACACTACGGAGAAAACTCATTTCAGCTGCTTGTATCCGGGATCTCCTTCTTTCGGTCATGACCCAAAACTCTTGACCATAGATGAGAGTAGGAACGTAGATAAAGCGGTAAATCAAGAGCTTTGCTTTTTGACTCAGCTTCCTCTTCACCACAACATACCTGTACAGGGCCCGCTTCACAGCAGACGCCGCACCAATCTGCCTATCGACCTCCTGCTCCATCTTCAAGACCCCAAGATACTAAAACTAGTCACTAGGGGCAGTATATTCTCCCCAACCCAGAGAAGGCACTTTACCCTTTTCCAGTTGAACACAATGGTTTTAGATTTGGAAGCACTGATCCTCATCCCGGCCGCTAGGGGTGTGCAAAATGATCACCATGACGATGCATCGCGATTCTAATTCTTGTGATCTACTGCATCGATTCTTGAAGGCAAGAATCGATTCTTAATTAAAAAAAATGAACAAATAAAATACATGAATGGTTGGCGCACATCAGCCAAGCCAAGTGGAATACAACTTCCAGTCCAGCAGATGTCGCTGCAGATGTGTTGACGCCCGCTGCTTTGTGTCACTAGCATTTCTGGCCGTGGGATACTGCGATGAGTCATATGAAATAAAACATGGAGGACACTATAAAAATTTGCCCCGCAGCTCCATCACATTTCAAGTCAGATGCTTGGATGCATTTTGGCTTTAAAAACAAAGAAGGTAAAAACGAAATTGATATGATGCACGTCATTTGCAAAAGGGGAAATATACATTTGAATGTTTTCGTTTCATTGGTTTAAAGGACCACTGAGGCCATGTAAACGGCACTGATTATCCTTATTTTGTTATTTTAAGTTTTATGAATCCTAAGATCTTTTTGTCAGTGTGTCCACGCCAGTAATAGTAATATTTCTGTCCAGTATTTGCTTTCATGGCAACACCTCCAAAAGTCATTTCAATAAACACAGCTATGTATGAATTCAGTTGCTTTCAGTTATGTATCAATTGAAGACACGATCCAGATCACACCCAGCCAGTCAGCCACTGGTAAGGGCTGGATCTTTTTCTTACAGTGTTCAGTGAAAATACCGCAATGCATCGCAATATTTCAAGTATCATGATGCATCGTGATAGAATCGCATCGTGTCATGTGAATCGTGATTCGAATCCAATCATGACTTCTTTGCCAATACCCACCACTACCGGCCGCTTCACACTCCGCTGCAAACCGCTCCAATGAGAGCTTTAGATTACGCCCTGATGAAGCCAACAGAACCACATCATCTGCAAGTAACAGAGACGCTATGCTAAGGCCACCAAAGCGGATCCCCTCAACACCTTGGCTGCGCCTGGAAATTCTGGTTCTTATATGGTCTTGCAGTTACTTTGTTCCCCATAAACAGATTTTTTTTCAGTTTTGTTATTGATCAGGTCATCTGTCATGACACGCCAACATTAAAGATGCTTCTGACTCAGCACACGGACGCTGTAGGATGTTATCATTGTCTAGGCAACCACAATGTTTTACGTCATCTGGCAACATTCAGACAATCATGGTGGAATGAGCAGGACCCGAGCAGATGTTATTTTTACATAGCTTTTATCCTGCATAACACCTTAACCAAAAAGCTTGGCCTCTGTGCCGGCCTTAGATCTGGATCCAATGTCAGTTATCACTCAGATACAGCATGCTGTCCTACCTCGCAGCTTTGCCAGCGGTTGGGAATATTTGGGCGAAGTTTCTGCTCACAGACCACCTTCCTCATCTCCTCAACTGATGGATCTGACTGCACCAGGTCATAGTAGGGCAGCTGGTAGTCCTCATGGATGCCTGACGGGAAAAACACAGAAAACCATGAGGTCAGAATAATCATGTTAGTTCACTTCTGCTTCTGAAGACCCAAACAAAACTGAAGTCCAACTGTTCTCACCCCCCACAGAGCAGCGGCTGGCGATCTCCCAGAAGACCAGGCCCATGGCGTAGATGTCAGCTCTCTTAAACGACTCAAAGTGCTTCATGTTTATGGAGTCGTCCAGCACCTCTGGAGCCATATACCTGATAGGGGACAACATGGAGTCACATCAAACCAAGCTGCACTTTATAATCAAACATGTGATGTCACAGTATTTATTTTAGCAGGTCCAAATTTTTCATTGGCGATATATCGAATATACCCGATGTATCTTGAGGGATTGCCTTTGAGTCAATGAGTCGATGCAATCATCTGGTTTTCCTCAGATAGAAAAGTTTGAATCGATGTGACTCTATGATCTGGTTGAATTATAAAGTGCTTTGACATGATATGTGTTGTGAATTTGCGCTATAGAAATAAACTGAAATCGATTTGAGATTTTAATACAATTATTTTCTCGCACAATACAGCACCCAGGAAACGAATTATGGAGACAGCAGGTGTTTCAGTAATTTGTAAGACGTGCAACAAAACCATTGCGGCGAAAGGCCACAGAACAAATTTATTCCACCACATAAAAAGTAATCCGAAAAATGAAGAATGTTGTTAACCTGCAGACCAATTAAATCAGCTGTGAAGCAGATGACGTTGGCTTCGTCGTTTGAAAAAGCGATACATATGAGAGAAAAAGGAAGCGCTGCGTGTCCCGAGCCCGTAACATCAATCAACATAACATCAATGACCCCTCACCCCCCCACCGTGGACTGTTCTCCCTGCTGCCCTCTGGGAAAAGACTTTGAATCATTGGATGAAGGTCCAGCAGATTCTGCAACAGCTTTTGAACTGATAAAACTCTAAACTGGACTCTGTGTGACACTTGAAAACATATTTGCACTACCAATGTGGCTGAAGCTTTTATTATCCTTTTAAATAAGATACAACTCAATGTTATACTGAATTTTGACCCATTATTTTTTGTTTTAAACTGGTTTTTCCTTTTCTCCTATACTGTTTAATGATCATTTCCCTTTTGGAAGCTGTAAGCAATATAATTTCGTTTTGATTCACTTTATGTATACAAAATGACAAAAGTTTGTTTAGGTCAGAATGTAGGCCGCAATCGTCCACAACAGAAGCTCATATTCCCTCTTTAAATGTGTGATCATGAGATATAGAATGAAATGGAAGATCCTGGATGCAGTCCAGGTTTACTGGATGTCCAGTGAAGCCTTTATTTAGCCACATTAACTTCAGGAACATTCAGGTTCTGCCTAAAACCTCTGGATCCAAATTCATTCCTTCCGTTCCTCATTCAGTAGCAGATTTTTCCCAAGATAGCTCGGATCCTTTAACTCGATGTGTCGCTTTAAATGTGAAGTGAACGTGGCTGACGTACAAACTTGTATGTTAACCCTTTATAGCACACTCAGTGACAAGACATTATTACCTTTGTAACATAAAAAAAAAATATAGATATTCTGATGGGAAAAAAATGAATGTCAAAGTAAAAGCAAACTCCAACTTGCCCGAATACATTAAGAAAAATAATAAAAGTGCTTCTATAATAAATTCATGAAAAACACAGAGTGAAAGAAACACATTTTTTAGTACAACATAACCTTAGAGGCATTAGGGCTGATACTGGCACTTACATTTTTTGTTTATAAAACTAGGCTTATTAACTTTACTTTTAAACTTTTTAATTAGCTTTTTTTCCTAGACTTTTTTAACCTTTTTTTAACTTAATTTTCAGTAGGTAATTTATAATCAATCAAATGCCAAAATAAGATGGGGTATGCAAGTCATCAAAAACACTAACTTGCCCTATAAAGGGTTAGTTATAGGATTTCCTAAAAGCGCGTTCATGAGCCTACGGAAACCGCGGCAGACCAAACCAGACGAAAGTGCGCATTCAGCGTCTGCTCTTGATAATGCAAGCGTAGAAGAAGAAATGTGCTGTTTACCTGTTCAAAGAAAGAAACAACGAAAGAAAAATGTCTGAGGACTTCAGTGTTGAGGAAGAGCATGAGTTCTTTGCCGAGCTGAATGCGCACTTTCATCTGGTTTGGTTTCCGTAGCGTCGTGAACTCGCAGGCGCGCGCTTTCAGGAAATCCTATACACTACTGTTTATGCTCTAAAAACATTCTAAATGACTTCGTTTCGAGTAAATTCTGGACGCTACCCACTCAGGACACTTGGAATACATTGGACGAGCAGTATGGAGGGATATTGACACGTTTTTTGTGGACTTTTATGGACATTTCTGTCTCAGGCGCCATACACCTCCATTATTTGAATGTCAGCAGACAGCAAGAAGCCTCCCAGATCTCCAGATGCATTTGAGATATCAAAAAAGTACTCCAGAGTGTTGTTCAGCATGGGGGCGAGTAGAAAATGAAGGCTGATCATGTTTTGGGTGTACTATTCCTTTAAGTCCCCGTGGAAACAGTTTGCACAAAAACATGTTTTTTCTGTCCCAGTCTTTCTTTGTTCATCAAACTCTGCCAGCGCTCTGCTAAACTGGCATCAGGAATCCCAGCAGATGAGTCTGAATGGAGCAGACTAGTTCTAGCAGTAGATACGCGGGTCTGTCAGGATGTTTGCCGTAATAAGAGCCATAAAACCTGATGTTATTCAATAAAAAGTCTTCTTATCACTGGAACGAGAACGTGAGCGGTGTGTCAATCATTCTTCTCAGAGTGAACGTCACTCTCGTTCACGTTCATCACTTCAAAACTGATCCGTTCAGTTCACCGTTCACTAAAACTATGATGAATTCAGTGAACTGCATTCATTGAACGCTCTCATGCACACCACCTGGTAATGAGCTGCTCTGAGATGTGAAAAAAAACAACTTCTCTTGTTTGCTTCGTTTCTGCAGCATAACACAAGTGGCCAAAAATGTAAAGACATTAGCAAATATCCTTTCAGCTGCACAGCATCCCACAGCTGAGGTTAAAACCTGGGAAAAATTGCATTTTGTTCCAGAAAGGGAAGAACTGAATATCAGAAAGAGCAGGAAGTCTGAGCATCGCACTGCCAGGAGACGGAGTAACCCGTACCTTTTGGTCCCGACTCTGTGGTTCGGAGCAATGTCGATGGTATCAGTGGCAGAGTCGTGTCTAACAGCCAAACCCAAGTCAGCGATGCAGCAGGTCCCGTTCTTCTTTACCAGAATGTTCTTGGACTTTAGGTCTCTGTGTGCAATAGCTGGCTTTCCTGTAAATAGGGATTATATGCATACATGATAAAACTGGACAAACGGCTAGAAGTCATCCCAGAAATAAATCTCCCTGATTAATAAACGGTTCTGAAAGAAGGGCCAGCTGAAGCTGGAACCGTCGTGCTCACCCTGTGTTCCTACGATCTCCATATGGAGGTGGGCCAGGCCGCTGGCAGTGGACAGCGACAGCTTGATCATACCCTCCACGGTGACGGTGTAGCGGTTCAGGTAGTCAAACAGGGAGCCGTGTTCATGGTAGTCTGAGACCAGCCACAGCTGGGTCCATGTTCCGTTATCTGAGCAAACATAGAAACAAGCACACCTCAGAATGGACCATTTCCCTGATGGCCAAACTGATGACTCAGGCCTCTGGGTGAACCGTGCTACATGGGGCCGCGGCTACAGTCACCGGGTCGGGTTTGGTCGCTCTCTCCCCCGCTGGCTCCCTGTTCCGTCTACGTGCTGCACTGTAGTCGACCAAAATCCCGGACATTTTTTTAGGAATGAAAAGTAGAACATATCCGGGAAAAAGAGGACGGCTGGTGACCCTACCTCCCTACCTGATCAACAATTTGATGTTTCAGTGAGTGAGTGCTTGTTGCTATGATACGTCTTTGCTCAGCAGCTTCGCTCGTTGTAAACCAACCAATCAGAGCACAGCTCATCTAAATATTCACGATCATACCATAAAAGGAAGAAAACCTGTCATTTCATTCTAGGGCTTTTAACCAGGCTTCATTAGGGAGCACAGATCAGCAAATATGATGTTTTCAGCCCAACCAATGTTACACACCCTATTCAGACCTTAAGGACCAGCACTAAATACCCTCAATAATCATTCTATCACCCCATTAAAACTGGGTTTTAAAGTATTTTAAACATCTATTATTGGATTAAAGTGGGACGATATCGGACTGAACAAACAGCCCAATTACTCCTACAACTATTCCTGGACTAAATCAAGACTATGACGGAGCGACCAGAGTTAGCTTAAAAAACAGTGGTTAAATTAGCGTTCTATGTGACCGCTGCTTTTAGGAATTTAGAAATCAAAGTTCAACTTCTGATTCCCAAAATGGTTTCATAAAGACATCTTTTACTTCTTCTAATGACCCAGATTATTTTGTTATAACTGACACAACTCAGGTATCCTTTTTTATATATTATTTGTTTGTTGTCAGTGTTTTTTTTTTGGCATCTAATGTTCCTAACTACGTGGAACAGGGTTTATGGAGCTTTTATTTTGAAGGTATGCCTCTCTATTTTTGGCTTTCTAGAGGACATTACAGGTTTCCATGCATGTTTTATTTGGAGAGCAGGTATAATTTTGCAGTATTGGGCGATTATAAGTTTGTATTTTGTATGCAAACAAAGTTTAAAGCTAGCTAATGGGAGAACATTTGAGTCAATCTGTCGATGCAATCAACTGGTTTTCCTTAGATAGAATCAATCTGACTGGATGATCTGGTTGAATTATTTCTGTAAAGAGCGTTGTGATGACATGTTTTGTGAATTATATAAATAAACGGAATTAAAATGAATTAATGGCATTCATCCTTTATGGTTTGGTTGGCTAAATGAGAATTGCAGTCATATGTAAATGGAGTCATTTTTCATTTTCAGCTCTTATGGTGTGTCTGTGTTGTGTTTTCCTGTTTGATGAATAACTGGGTTTAAATAAAATGGCGTCACATTTATTTCAAAATGCCCACGAGCAAATTAAGCATACTATACATGTTCAACTATTTCTGCACTTGGTTTATCTACCATCGCACAACAAAATCACATGCGTGAGAAACTGCCGCCCCAAAAGGAGAAAAATCGCTCTCTGCGCTCACCAGCTCCTCCCAGGCGCGCTCGGGATCTCACCGCACGCTGTTTTTTATGAACATAAAGACAATTTAGATACACATTGCTGTTTTCCTCACCTTTGTTGTCAGCAGCAATAAAGCCAAGGATATTTTCATGCCTCAGCATCACAGTCTGGTAGATCTCAGCCTCGCGGAACCAGGAGCGCTCCTCTCTAGATGAGAAGATCTTTACTGCCACCTCCTCGCCACGCCATTTTCCCCGCCACACTTCCCCAAAACGCCCCTTCCCAATGCTCTCCTGGAGGATGATGGTTCTGGCGATGGTCCTCTGGACTAACAGCGGAAGGCCTTTAAGGGAAATGGGAAGGGAAAAAAAGGAAGACGTCAGACCATCACTGCTGTGCTGCTGGAAATCCAGAATCAGACATGAAGAGAGTAGAGAGGGTTCTGCTTAGGTTCTGAGGCAGAACCTCAACCCTGAAAAAGACACTTAGTCTGATTGCAATCCAACAGAGCACAGCAGCTGTGTTCCAGCTCCTGCAGAGAGGCAATGTAAGCTGTTCTAGAGGCTCACAGCACAACCTGGGACTCCCAGTAGTGCAGAAGCAGCCATTCAAAATGGCCTTTCCCAGTCAACGCTGGCTGAATGACAGCCCTCTGCCCTGTGACCAACTAAACTTGTCTTTTTGGGAAATGTTCAGTTACACTGGTTTCTACACATGTTGACAGGAAAAAGCACATGTGGTCAAATATTTACATAAAATGAAACTTTGTTAAAACATGACTTAAGGGTTATTGAAAATGTAGCTTTCAGAGTTTCTTCCTCGTCTGCATTAACTTTCAGCTAAACGCAAACATAACTCAGTTCTATTAGTGACAACAAAACAGGTTCAGCACTTCCAGCCGAACCCATTCAGCGTTTTTCACTGAATAACTGATATACAGGAGGTTGAAATGGTTGAAATGGTTGAAAACACCAAAAAATGACGCTTTTCCTTTTCCCTCTTTTCCATTTCATTTGATCAATGTGAATGAACCACATTAAATCCAAAAGTAACACTCTTCTGCGGGTTTTTGGAGCTTGCCATTTATTACTTTGATTGTATATGCTGAGATCTTATTTTACCTTATTTCATTCTTATATCTTACTTTTATAATGGAGGGGTGTATTATACTATACTCTGTTCTACTAGAAACACATTTCCCCCACAGGATTAACAGAGTAATTCTGACTCTGCTCATCCATAGATGTTGTAGGGGAAAAAATACCGCGATAAAAAGAGTTGCAATGTTTCTGAAAGATCTTGGGGGGAAAAAGCAAAGATAAAACTGAACAATGTGCTTTTAAAGGGAAATGTACGATAACATGTTTAGCAGATAACAGGAAGGCTGAGCAGAGAAAAGCAACGTTTCCATTTGAGTTTGGTTTTTTGTATTTGGAAATCTTGGTAGATCTCAGAGTTTAAGGCACTAATCTTATTCCCTATAATTAGTACATGGAAACTTTGAAATTAGTAGACTTTAGACAGATTTTATTTGTCATTTTGTTTACACAAGTTTAAAACAAAAAGAAGTTTCATTTGGAAACAGCTCACTGGACAATTTCATCTTTGTACAGTGCAGCCTTGAAAAATAGAAAAAATAACTGTATAATTTACAGTTCTAACACACATATATATATATATATATGTTTTTAATTTTCTTTATTTGGAATGACGATGACCTGGAAGAATGGGAATCTTCAGCAGCTGAAAGACATTTTTAGTTTTGTTCTTTTCTTTTAATTATGAAGCCATTACAAACAGAACAGGCGTGATAAAAACCTTCCACTGCGATTAGGGGTGTCTGCTTTTTGTAGGCTCCGTCCTTTTCTTCTAAAGAATAAAAAAATAGTTTCACATTGACTCAGTCATTTTTTGCAAATCCAGAAATATTTGCAAAGGTTTGCAAAAAATGACTGAGCTTACAAGAAACAATTTTTTTTATTATTCTTCAGAAGAAAAAACAGCTGACGAGAAAAGCAGACAGATGTTCTGCTTTCAACAGAAAAGCGGCTGTGAGTCAGTCAGCACTACCCAACACCCACACAGACGACAGCACATGGGGAAAAACATGGCCGACATCCCTACTGGCATTCCAGATCTAGGAATCTAATCAGGAAGGCGCCTACATGGCATGAAAACACAGAGAAGCTAACATTTCAATCAGGCAAAGCAAAAGTTGTCCTTTGACCGCAGCATTTGGAAAACAAACTGCTTCACTAACTGGGAATCATTTAACTGGCCTATGCAGATAAACTAATGGCGTTACCTTAGCTCAGGGGTCAACGACCGGCCGCTCCACAGCCACACGGGGCTCTTTAGTGCCCCCTTGTGGCTCCCTGGAGTTTTTTAAAAATGTATGAAATGTACAAAAAAGATGGATTTTTTTCCTTGTTTGTTTATTTTAAACCTTAATACAATTAATAAACCAATGTAAAGATTTCTATCAGCAAAGATTTGCATTGTAGCCTTAAAACACCTTTCACCGCGGCGCAGTGCCAGGCAGGTTGCTGTTGGAAGCAAACCAGTTAGTGACCTGTAATTAAATTAATATTTGTATTTTTGTTTACTTAGCCTACTTACCTTTTTAAAAGGCTGCTGTAATAGGCTGCCTTTTATTTCACTATTGCCCCAATAAGGAGGGGAAAGTTATTGTATTGTTACTGTGGTTTGAAGAAGACTGCATTTTATTTCCACATGGAGGTTTGAAATTAAATAAAGTCCTATTATGCAGATTACATTTTTTAAACCTTTAAAATAAAATTAACACCAAAAATCAGATTTCTTTATTGTATTTCTACAATTCCATTATATTACATTAATACTAGGGGTGGAAGGGTTCACAAAATTCACTGTTCGGTTCGGTTTGGTGGTCACGGTTTTCGGTTCGGTATATGTTGATTGTTAGCCTGACATGTTGGTCGTGTTGCTGTTAGCATAAACAAAACGTGTTGCACAATGCTTGCACACTGTTGCACTTTTATCCACAACTTTCTTTCCGCCGTCATCGTAGGTCACTCTAAATGCAAAGTGGTCCCATACAGCAGACCTATAAAGTGCTGCTGGCGCGTCTTCCAACTCCTGTTCTTTCCCACTCGCCATACCCACACAATTCTCCACAACAACTGATTTTTTTTCTGCTACACCCGGCTAAGCTGCTTCGCGTCTTCTTCTTCTTGTTTACTACTGGTGGTTGGCTTTGGTCGCAGTACCGCCACCTTCTGCTATGGAGTGTAAACGCTTCGCCTATGAGAAAAAGGAGCAGCGCATGAACCGAACGAAACACACGCGAACCGGACCGAGACAGTCGAACCGAACGGTTCGGACGGTTTTCATAAACCGTTCCATCCCTAATTAATACTGTGATGGAAGTTAAAGCATCAAATATTTTACAGCAGATTAATCACATTTCGGACATAGTGTCATTTTCTCCAGGATGCCCTGCGGTTTAATAAACATTTAATCATCAATGCTTATTAGGTATTTAAGCCCACTATGTCATTTTGATAATGGGCTATTAAACACTTAAGGCTGATTTATACTCAGAATCCAGGTCGTCTGCATGTGTGTCACAGTGAACGCAGATATGCCCCGCCCCCTCCGCAGACACTCCGCTGCACCTCTCCAATACTGTAAGTATCCGCAGACAGGAGGCCTCTGATTGGTCAGATCTAAATCCACTCTACACTATACATATTTCCTGTTTGGTACCTTGTTTTGTTAGTTTGACCGCCATTGTGGGAAACGACTGAAAACGATTGTCCCTCTTGCTTTGAGGCTCAAATCTGTTGTTTGATAACTAGGATGACTAGAAATGTCTATTTTCCCTTAGGTGCCTGAAGACGGCATTTATTGATGCTATCAACAGAATTAAATAAAAATTTAAACTGAAAGAAAAACAAACTGTGTATTTCTTTCTGCACATAAAAGCAGCCAGAAGGGCGGCGCTGTTCTTCCACACCAGTGGAAAGACATGAAAACACCTTCAATTATTGCCTTTTCAGACACATATGGAAGCAATAACAGGTCTACACACAATGTTGAAAGTGTTATGCTGTCAAATGCCCCATCTCAGAAAAAGCCAAGGGTATAAAGAGCAAACAGTACCGGATCCAGAGCCTGAGGTGGTCATGTCATAGATGAGGTCTTTGAGGGTGGTTCCAACAGTGATGAAGGGATGGTCCATGGACGGGTCCTCCTCATTAGGCACACGGTGGTGGAGGGCCCCCGCTCCTCCGGCACCCAGACCGCGTTGGTAGTGGCAAACGTAGAAGGCCAAAACCAGCAGCAGACCGAGCACACAGACTGGGCAAGCAATCACAGCTGCAAGGGCCACGGGCCCCAAGGTTGGGGGCTTCTGTTCTTCTGGTGCTGCAGAACACAAAGAACAGAGCAGATGAAATAACACCGATGCTGCACATTTATTCAAATATTGGTAAAGATTTGAGTAAATCTGCTAATGGAATTAGGATATTAAGACATTATTCATGTGAAATCATTTAATGTGGATGTTTCTTTCTTATTTCCTATGTAAACCATCTAAACTGCTGAAATTAAAGGGAAAATACATTCATTTTAAGAAAAATGGAATTACTCATACTTTAAAGGCCCACCGCAGAGTTTGTGACCTAAAGAGTTAGACTTACATGATCTTTATTGTCATTATATTTTATAAAGATGTCACTTAGTACAACTGTTCAGACAGTAAAGGAACATTTCCATCCATTTTATTTGTTTTCCAATACAGAGTTACAATCAGAGTTGGAAGTGTCTTCCAGATGGTGTTTTTTTTTTTCTTCAAACGTTTTTTTTTTTTTTTTCACAACAGAAAGAAACGGTTTCTTTCAGAAGAAACTTTGAAGGTGAAATTTCCTGGAAAGTTAGGTTTGTTTTGGTGAATTTTGCCTTAAGCAGGTTCAAATCCAATAATAACATTGAAACAGGATTCAATATCTATAAACCAGGGGGTTTAGGGGCTGGAAGAGCGGAAGAAATTAAAGAGAAAGAAAACCAGCTGGAATCTGAGTATACAAGGAACCATTTTGAAGGTTAATAGTGAACGATCACTTTCCTAAAGCAGTGTTTCAACACAGTTGTTAATTTACAAGTTTTTTAATCAATAGTTACTCATGTATCTAGATTTGTATTAAAACCACCTAATAAAAATGGTATGAATTCTGTATATTGTGTCAATAGCTACGTTTACATGGACACAACTAATCGGATTGAAGGCCTGATCAGATCAAAAATGTTTCATGTAAACATGTCAGACTGAAGATTCTAATCCGATTCGGTCCGATCAGAAATAAATTTAATTCCGAAAGAGAGAGGTGGTTTTTGCCGATCGCCATTCTGATTGGCGTCCATGTAAACACCCATTCAGATCTTAAGAGTAAAATAATCTTCACTGTGCATGTGCGCGACGTCAGCGTGACGTTTTTCCGCCTTGTCAACAACAGGAAACCACCGGTCGCTCTCGCTCTTGTTGTGAACAACATGTTGGGAGGAAAGTCGAAGTGGTCTGTCACCGACACCTGTTTCTTGCTTGAAACGTTAAGGGAGCTCAACATAATTGAACGCCTTGATGGCAGAAAGTCTAGGAACGCCGACTTATACACTCAAGTTCATTTAAAGCTGCAGGAAGCAGGAATTGACAGAAGTATCGACCAGATAAAAAAGGCTATTACAAAGCCAAAACTCAAAACTGCAAAAGTGGGTCTGACCCAGCCTGCTTTGAGTTCTATGATCAAATGGATGAAATGATGGGAAATAGGCCGTTGTCAAAAGCCGGTTTCTTCTTCTACTGCTAAAGCCAAAGTACACAGTTCTGCGCATGCTTAAAAGGTTTAATCTGATCCAACGCTTGGTACATGTATACACACGTCATGATCGGATCATTTAATTTAGTGTCCATGTAAACGGAGATTTTGAATTTCCGATCAACCAAGGTTTGGATCGGATCGGGGAAATTTTGCGCATGTAAACGTACACTGCAAAAAATCTAGATCTAGATAAGTCATTTTTTCTTAAAATAAGTGCATTAGTTCTTGAATTTAGGAGGTAAAAGAGACATATTGCCAATGGAACAAGACAATTTACACTTAAAATAAGAAAACACAATTGCATTGTCTTATTTCAAGTGCATATTATCTAATTATCTTATTTTAAGAGTAAAATTACTTATTCCATTGGCAAACTATCTCATTTACCTGCTCAAATTAAGGGTAAATACACTTAATTTAAGAAATTTTTATTTATTTCTAGATCATTTTTGCAGTGTAGCTACTGTGTTTTCTCATAAAGAGTCCTCCTCGTGTAGCCCAGTGGACACATCGAAGCCCGTCACACTTGGCCGATTTATCTAGCGTATGCATGATGTCCCAGAGTCTTCTCAAACGCTGGCATCCGCTGAACTTTCTATGTTTTTTTTTACCATTTAAGGCATAACTTTCTATGCATTTTTTCAATTAAGGGCGTATACAGAGTATTCATAACAAGTCCAGAGTTTATGTCCCACAACAGCCTAACTTATGCATAACGCACGGCTGCGTAACGCCCATGAAATGATGCACAAGGATCGTTTCATGGGCGTTATTCTGCATCAGTTAAAGCTGCTCTCCTCAGGAGCAGCAATGCTCCAGGAGGCGCCCGTTCTGCAACAAAGATGTCTTTGACCGTGATATTAACCTAGCTGCTTTTTATTGGCCACTCAGGAAAAAAATAAATATGAAAAAAGAAAGAAGGTTTTTGGTGGCAGCAGATTCAGCGTTGTGTCTGCTAGGAAGTTTTTTGGTAGTGGGCGTGAACACAGGGAGGATCCATCACCCTCACCTTCTGGCTCACCCTATGATGGGGAAGAAGTCTGGAGGAGAACTGACGGTTTCCTCCTGTGAACCCCCTTTATTCCAAAACGCTGCCAATACGCCATTATACAGTAGCTGGAAGTTAGAAACACGTTCAGCGCTCGTCTGGAACATGTCAGATACCTTGATGTACACATTACCTCCACCATGCTTAACAGATGGAGTCAGGCATTCTTCCAGCATCTTTTCATTTGTTCTGCGTCTCACAAACCTTCTTCTCTGTGATCCAAACACCTCAAACTTGGATTCATCCGTCCATAACACTTTTTTCCAGTCTTCCTCTGTCCAATGTCTGTGTTCTTTTGCCCATCTTAATCTTTTTCTTTTATTGGCCAGTCTCAGGTATGGCTTTTTCTTTGCCACTCTGCCCTGAAGCCCAGAATCCTGCAGCCGCCTCTTCACTGTAGATGTTGACACTGGTGTTTTGCGGGTACTATTTAATGAAGATGCCAGTTGGGGACCTGTGAGGCATCTATTTCTCAAACTAGAGACTCTAATGTACTTATCTTCTTGCTCAGTTGTGCAACGCGGCCTCCCACTTCTTTTTCTACTCTGGTTAGAGCCTGTTTGTGCTGTCCTCTATACATAGCTAATGTGTTTACCACATTAGCTATGTATAGAGTGTATTTCTTTAAAGTTAAGACTAGTTTAAAGTTATCTTCATTGAGAAGTACAGTGCTTTTCCTTCAAAAAAAAGGAAATTTCAATGTGACCCCAAACTTTTGAACGGTAGTGTAGGTTGGAGATAAGTTCTTGATAAGTTACACAGAAAATTATGCAAAACTTACTCAGAGATTTAGGATAAGCTGGATGCCACGACTTATGAGTAACTTACACTTAACGTAAGTCCACCATCAGATAACTTATCTGGAACTGACGGCCAACGTATGGCATACGCTGGAATACTCTCAACATACTCACCATATGTCAACGTGTGCCAGCGTGTGTCAGCGTACTCATAGCTTATGCTAAATGTAGCCATAGCGTATGCCAGCGTTTTGAATGGATTTTCTGTATGTCAGGCATACACTGTCTAAATAGTCAAGGTGTGACGGGGCTTGAGTTGACTTTTCAATGGATCCATCCCAGTTCTGGAAATATTACCAGGACTTTCTTCTAGTTTCTTCAGGAAGAAACTCACCCCTGGTTGCAATGTAAAATGTAAATTGATGAAAATAATGAAAAGAGGACAATAGTGAGAAAGAGTGAGAAAATATCTGGATTAAACTGCAGACCTAGAACCTATGAGTTTTACAGGGAATTACGGCTCCAAGCATCTTTTGTTTCAGCCCTTTCAAATATGCCTTTTTATTCATGGCGTACATTTGTAAAAAAAAAAATAAAAATAAAAAAATCATTTAAATGTACTTTGGCTGCTTCAGTTTTACCTTGAAAACAAACTGAGGTGTTGGTGTGGATACCTACGAAAGACTTCGATTTTGGGCTCTTTGTTGCAGTAGTCAGAGGAGCAGCACATAGGGATGATGCTGGTCGTCCCTCTAGAAGACGGAGCGCAGACAAAGGGCCGGTCTTCTGGGATCAGTTCGCTCTTGGGGATGCACTGCCGCTGCTCTGAGATCCGCTGGTTGCCCGACTTCTTGATGACCACATAGCACATGCCGTCCGTGGTGCAGCTGGAGTTGGTGCTGCAGCGATCACAGTAACACTGAAGGGCTGCAGAGGAAAGAAGTTCATCACAGTTAAATGTCTGCCGCTCATTATTTCTAATCCTTTAAATACTATTAAAAGGAAAATAACAGACCCAGGTTAATGTTATTTCATTTATTGTCTAAACAAGTAAACAAAGACAAATATTTGAAACTCCTGAATGAAACGGAGCAGAAAAAACCTAAAGCTATGAGTTTACAAAGAACTTTTTAATACAAAAAGCATCAATAAAAACAGATAAGCTTTAAAATATATTTAACAAAAAAGATATCTTAGCTCTGAAACGGATGCTTTCTTTTCTCCATTCTCTTAAAACAAAACATAACATTTGGACATATGCTGTTGAAGGTTCTCAGTCATCCAGGTCATAGTCAATCCAAAAAAGTTAAAAAACAATCCACTGGACTCTGCTTCCAAGGTTGAAGACATTTCTCTTTTGATCCAGGAAGCTTTTTCAATAATAAAGACCTGAAAAACATTCAAATTGAATCAGACGAACTTGGTTCGAATGCCTTCAATGCAGTGAGGAAAGCTCTGATCTTTATATTGGAGAAAGCAAACGCATGGCCCAACACAGAAGAGCGCCCTCCTCTGCACAAGACTGCGGTACATCTACACCTGACGGACAAAGGACGTTCTTTTGGGGACCAGAATGTTCACATTTTGGATAAAGAAAATAGATGGTTTGAGAGGGACGTGAAGGAAGCCATCTATGTTAAAAAAGAAAAACCAACCTCAAACAGAGGGGGGGGGGCTTCAGATTTCAGCTTTAAAAAACCTAAAATGCAGAGATAGGCAACGTTCACACTGCAGCCTGAAGTGACCCAAATCTGATTTTTTTGCCCACATGCGACCTGGATTTGATCTTTTAATGGCTGTCTGAACAACACAGATCTGATTTTTTCAATCCGACCCAGGCCACTTAGCTATGTGGTCCTGAATCCGATACGAATCTGATCTTTTCAAATGGGACCTGTGTCTGAATGGCCAGGTCGGATTCATCCGACCTGAACATCATAAATACCCGACAAAGGTCAATATTCTGCGTTTTGCTACGCAGACGCGGCAAGAAAAACAACAACCATGGCAGATGATGATGCTGAGAGCAGTATTTATGTTTCAACATATTGAAAAGATTGAGTTTTTAAGGTTAAAAAAAAGACCGCTAGATGCGCGCTGGCACTACACTTCCGTAAACATGGAGCAAGCTGGACTGTGATGTCATCGCGTCTTCTACTGCGCATGCGCGACACTTGCACTGTGTGCGCTGAGTTGATTCCTTCCTGCTATCATCGCCTCAACCTCGCCTATTCAGCCAGGCCAACAATTCCCTTTAATGACCCCCCCATTCAGAGACGGACAGGTATGGGGCATCGCAGGCTAACAAAAGAAGCCAAACGACCCTCATTCTAAAGGGGTGGACCGTTCATCTGGTTCAGTTTGCATGTTTTCTAAACAAAAACAAGGCTTTGTTTTAGGTCCACTGTATAACACTGCTTTATATAACCCAGTCATGTCTGGGTTTGTTTGAAACCTTATTTCAATCTAATTTCATTTGCTACAAAGCCAATCAGCCCACATGGTCTTAACCAATAACAGCAGGACTCTATGAGGCATAATATCGCTTTACTCGGTGAGTCATTGGCTGACTGTCCCTGACGCAATCAAGTCATACTAAGATGCAAATACTCTCGTCTTGTACGTAAGAGAAAAAAAAACCATACCAAACATTGCGAGCTAATCCGCCAGGAAGTCAGCCTTATTAGCAAGATGCCAAGCGTTAGCTATGACTAGCTAACTTTTCTGATGTCAACAAACGGACTTTGTGGCGATTTTCTCATCATGGAATATTTTTATTATGAATATTCTGGATTACTTTTAATCTGTGGACCCTTATGGACGAATGGAGTATGAATTGAAGATTGGATTTACAAAACGGCTTCTGGACGCCTTTAAAAGGTAGTTGTGGTTGCTTTGTTTGTTTACATCTTGACATGCTGTTATATCTGTGTTAACTGTGGTTGGTGCGCGCTGTCGCCATAAAATGATGTTGGTAGTTGAATTGTGGAGAATCTAAGCTTTCCAACAATAATTAACATGTCTAAATTGGTAAACATTTTAACGGTGTAATTTTCATGCGTTCTGAGTTGTTAGTTGTGAACGTTATTGAAACGTTCGCCAGCAATAGGTGGATTTTAAGAGGTTAGACATTGTTTAATACTGTAAGTCTACAAATTCATGACATTTGAACATTTTTAAGTGAAGAAAATTGAGGTTTTGCAGCACTATTGTATGCACTTAAATGCATTTGAATTTTAGAATTGAATTATTTAAATTTTATTTAAATAATGATCAACAAGTTGAGTAATTGATTGTAACTCAAGTATAGTTCTTTTAAAATCAAATATCAAATACACAACAAAAACTACAAGTATAATAAATACATAAAGAATTAAAGCATAAATGAATGAAAGATAAAGAAGCTTTGAGTAATCTCTGCATACGGATAACATCCACATCAATCGCTGCTCTGATTTTATGTGAAAACCGCGAGATCTGAGCAGACAGACAACCAGGACTTCCTCTGGTGACATTTAAGCAGAACAACGACGGCAGACTACTGAGCCACAGTCATGAAATGAATTATAAACAGGAGAGCAGCCAAATCAGTGGAACAGCATAAGCTGGAATTTGTAGTTTGTCTGTAAAATGAGGTCATATGACACCAAGAGGGCGTGATGTGACAGAGAAGAGACCAGACGGGAGAGTTCAGTCAGACAGGATGTGGTTGATTCAGACATTGAGTAACACCACAGACAGCCAGACTAAACACAGAACGGCCTCAGCGAGCCGACGCTTCTGGCTTCTTTCCACATGTTAACTGATGATTTCCCCGTTAGAGCAGCAGCTCCTCAGCTGAGCGAGGAGCACTTCCTCTAGTGGGAGCAGCGCCTCCAGGAGGCTAAGGGGAGTTTGTTGATTTGGTTAAGCTGATATTGATTGCTGGTTTCCAGGGTCATTGTGTTTCACCATCTCTCTACAGTGAATTAGATTAGACTGCCTCATCTTTTCATTTCACTCATCTCTTGGGGCTCCCTGCTCTCACATCCCCATGCTCTACTGTTTCTGCACACATTGCTACCCATTTATCATAATTAGAAATGACCAACTAACATCTACTCACTGGAATGCAGCGACTACATGAGTCATGTATGTTTCTACATGGTTATATGCAGGCCAGCTGACAGCGTGGAACCGGCCGGGACAGAATGAAGCCCAAAAATGTTTTGTAACCTTTTCTGGAAGCGAGAGCAGTGTTTCCCAATAATGGACCGCCACAGTCTGACACAGACACACAGAGAGAGAAAACAACAACAAAAAGATCAGCTTATCAGACCGCTCCACAGCTGTACTTTCATGCCGCCCGTAACCCAGCGCCATAGAGAGACAAATTGTTTGTTATATTTTTTTCAAAGCGCGCGTCCCGCCCTCCTTTATAAAAATGCCGCACCGGCTGCCCGGTGTTGCCAACTCAGCGCCGTTGTCGCTATATTTACCGACTCTTCAGACCCCTTCAGCGACTCTTTCTCAAAAAAAGCGACTAGCGACAAATCTAGAGACTTTTCTGGCGTCACTGGCGGCTTTTGGAGACTCTTAGGTGAAAGCACGTATCCTTCCTGATGTAATAACATAAAATCAAGGGCCCAATGTAAAAAACAAACAAAACAGCGTTCCCCTTTAAGTGGGATACGCCACGCTTAAAACCCCCGAGGGTCAGAGACTCTCCCACCACCGTCTCCTAAAATCCTGTGGGAAACACTGTAACAGAAACATATTTGGTCGTTTTTATTTCAGCATTTTCTTGTCATTACTGTCAAAAGTACAGAGCAACAAAATTCCCTCTGCATTTAACTCAGCCCCTTGGGGAGCACTGGGGGGTTAAGGGTCTTTGCTCAGAGACCCACAGTGGCAGTCTGTGGGAGTGGGGCTGGAACTCAGTTTCCAGCTCTGTGCCCTAAGCACCAAGCCGCCCCTCCCCACAGTTAATTAAAACAGTGAAATATATTTATTCATTTAATAAGGATTAAAAAAATACATTTATTTAATGCAAGCATCTCAGGTAACATTTAAATGTTTATATTAGAGATCTTCCCAGTATATATTTTATGAAATAAGCAGCATTTTGCTTTCCACACCTGCTCCACTCCCATTTGATGCCATTTCTGGATTTCTACTTGTGTGAAAAGTTGAAATTGGACCAAATCTTTCTTCAGCAGTTCAGAAAGATTGTCTATTATTCCCCTCCACCGCAGCATGTTGCAGCCATGTATTCACGTCAGTCAGATTCCAAACTTCTCCACCTCTTAACATTAGCCATTGGTGCTGAAGCTTTGCTCCATCAGAGAGCTTTAAGCAATGACCGCCTTCTCAGGCTTTTGCAGGTGAGGTTGACCTAAGGTAAAGCTTTTCCTGCAGCTTCTTCATGTTAAAGTGACGGAGCTGCTGCCTGGCCGTGTGCAGAGGGAAGATTCAGGTTCTATATTTACCTGCACATACCTGCCTTATGTTTATCAGCTGGACAAACTTCAGAGAAACTGCATCAGCGGCATCACCAGTTAGAAGGAATGGCTGCTGGGGGCACTTCCCATGCTGAAAACTATTTAATACAGTAATACAATAAAAAAAATCATGAAACTTAAAGATAAAGCTTCAACTTCTTTAAAAAAGAAGGATATTGCTCTGTGTGGGGGAGGACCAGGTGATATTAATCAAACACCCACCCCCAAGGCATTTACTCCCACTCTGCTGTGACATCTGGACGCCTCTGTGAACAGCTGAGACGTTTCTGATAAGCAGGCATTCACACGGCGCCCTCCCCCATTAAACACCGACACCCATATGTGAGACTAGAAAGACAGAATTCATTTCTCCGTGTCCTGGAAACATTTCCATAGGTCATGACACTCCCCACCCAGCCCCCACCCACCCATTATGATGGGCCCTTT